GGGCTGGGTGTGTGTTTGGGGAGGAGGAGGAGGGAAGAGGGGAGGGGGATTGATCAAGCATGGCAACATTTTATATGTGAAAAATAAGTCGGCTTTCCCCAGGCGAAGGGTGTATGCCCGTTTTTTTCTTGTGTGTAATGTGGTACTTAATACACAACGTGACTGACAACTCTTCCAGGCGGCATTGAAGTGACCGGTAACAGTGGCTGAAATCTGGTTGCTCAGAGTAGTAAATCACAACCGGGCTCGGTCAGTTTGAATCCATGGAATTGAGGGAAGAGCTCATTCACCCGATCCCCAGTGTGCCTCCTTCAACGCCCTTACTATGCCGAGCAACGGGATTTTGGATATTGGAAGAGATTTGAGATGTTTGTTTAAAACATTTGGGGAGAAGTGCAGAAGCTGACATGTCAGGGTACATCTCTCCTTGACCAAAGGTGTCTGTGATCATGGTTATCTATGCTCTAAACCTGTCTTAGTAATGCTATACCTAACAATTTAAAATTTTATCAATTAACTTAGTATTGGAATGATTCAGCATTTTCAGCTTTAATGTTGTGTTTTAATGATATAAGCCACCTTGGGTCCTTTCCTAGAAAAAGGTGAGTTAAAATGCTTAAAAATGTATAAATATCTGATGGTCTTCAGATTAGACTGTTATAGTTTGTTGTATGTGGAGTTGTCTTTGAAGACAAATTAGAATTATAATCCAATTCTTTTCCAAGTTACTCTTAGATTTAATTCTTTTCCCCCAGTAGGCCCACTTTGCTACTAAGGGGGTTGGTTATTCCAGAAGGTCCCATTTCCCTTTTTCCACCTCTTCCCTGGTTACAGAGGTTCATACCATTTAATATGATTTGTATTCAAGACTCTGTGTACAAATGGTATTTCATCCAATACAACATCTCAGGAAATCTTGAAATCCTTTCAAAAATTTGTTTCAAAAAAATTCCTTTTTCCTACTGGAGCTACTCTTTTGTAGGCCCCCTTTTTGTATCTGTAATTAATCAGAAGCTAATTTAACCCTACCCACTGAGTTGAGGCTAAAAGGCAACCTTGAGAACAAAGCAAGATAAACAATGAACCATGCTTTCAGGAGGTACAAAAGAAGGATGGGAAGTCACAAATGTTATTGTACTAATCAACACAAGGTCTACAGTATATCCTTTTAATAATGGCAGTCAAGCCCCTGGATGCTGGGTGTGTGTTCTTCTGTGTTTTTTTAAAAAAAAACACATTAATATTATTATTGTATGTGTAATTGTTTTTTAACCTTGTGTAACTTGTTTTAACATTTTGAACCTCCTTGAGTCCCCTCACTGGCAGAAAGGTGATCTATAATGGAACAAATAAAACAAATAAGTAATGCTGCATGGATGGCAGCAAAAATACCTCTAATGCCCGTGCAGGATCAAATAAAGTATGGAGAATAAATATTCACTTTGGATAATCCCTGGGTTTCTGGCCAATAGAAACATATTGACTGTATCCCTGGCTTCTAGTCTCTTTCTGAATTCAGAGTGCTTGACTTCAAAGTCTTATAGAGTTTCAGAACCATGTATCTTAAGTATTAATGCTCACAATAATGTCCCTGTACATTAAGGCACACTATAACTCTTTCAGTTACAAAAACCTTTGGTTTTTAGGGTACATACTTTTTTCTTTGTGGTTCTCAGACTTTTTGGAATGTCTTCCAGTACAATGAATTTAGAAGTGGAAAAATGCCACTGGCTTTACAGTTTAAGACTGAAATAAGGTGGGAATGGGGACAGGAATTCACAGTGCTTGGTGAATACAGGATGGTGTATACTGGTAATATTTAGATTGCTCAGGAAAGGCCTTACTAAAAAGCCTTTAAAAGACACCCTTTATTTCATGCTTCCCAGTAGTTGCCTTTGATACTGCAGGTGAAATATAGCTGTTCTGAGTCATAATCTCCATTAATTTTCCCAGGCCCTTTTCAAATATGGCCAAGCTGACAGCCATCACTACATCTGATGGCAAAGATTTATCCAGTTTTCTATGCTCTGTGTGAAGCTCTTCGTTTTATTATTCCAAAATTTGCCATCACTCAGTTTCAGTGGGTGACCATGAATTCTAGGATTACAGAAGGGATGGCAGTGTCCCTGTCTACTTTTTCCATATTAAAATATAATGTTATACATCTCCATCATGTCTCCCCTTTCTTAGTTTTTCATCTAAGCTAAGCCCTAAATGTTATCCTCCCTTAAAGGGGAGCTGTTTCAGTCCTTTGATCATTTCTGCTCTTCCTGGCTTTTATCAAGCATCACCATAAGCCTTTATGTGTATAATATATAACACAGTTTATTGATGTGAAGCATCTGTTGTTCAATCAAAAAGTGGGGAAGCCCTTCTGTTTCCTCTAATGCATGGCATTTCAGTGCTTTTCTTTTCTCTTGCTTGTGTAGCAGTCTATGACCTGTATGATCACGTTACATATGTTTTAAGTACAGACAACAGTTACTTGACCAAAGCTGATATCAACATGTACAGTACTCTTTGCACCCTGTAATTCTGTAGCAAAACACCAATACCACCATAATTGGGTATCTCTTTGCTTTGCAGAGATGGGACATGGTGGTGCTGCGGGTTAAACCACAGAAGCCTCTGTGCTGCAAGGTCAGAAGACCAGCCATCGTAAGATCGAATCCTCTCAATGGAGTGAGATCCCGTCACTTGTCCCAGCTCCTGCCAGCCTAGCAGTTCGAAAGCATGCAAATGTGAGTAAATAGGTACCACCACAGTGGGAAGGTAACGGCATTCCATGTCTAGTCGCACTGGTCATGGACACTGTCTATGGACAAACGCTGGCTCTACAGCTTGGAGATGGGGATAAGCGCTACGGCATTGGTCGTACACAACTGGACTAAATGTCAAGGGGAACCTTTACCTTTACCTTGCTTTGCAGAGCCAGGCTTCATAGGAATTTAAATCTCACTTTATAGTGCCCTGGGTGAAAAGAATTAAATCTACAAGTAACCTTGAAAAGATGTACAGGTTAGTCTTTATGCAGATGAATAATCCTATTAAATATGATGGGTGTGCATTCTTTTCCACTTGTATGAAGTTTAAATGCATATAGAGACATTAACCTGATGGAAATCCTGAGCAATTTGGAAGACTTTAAAAATGAATTGGAATAAAAGTTGTTACTTTTTCTAGGCAACATAGTGGATTTACATCTCAGTGTCTAAAGTCTGAAATCAAGGTAATTGGACATTCAAGTATGTTTCCTTTAGTGAAATGGAAAGCATATTTTCTGACCAGTGGAGTGGACTCTTAGCAGAATACAGGTATTGTCAACTGAAAGACCAACCCCATTACTATAAAAAACTATTAAATCAAATTTAGCGTGCCTTAGATTGATTTAAATTTGGGTGGTTACACAAGGAATGTGCAAGTGCAGATTAATTTGAAAGGAGATTGTGTTATTTTTCAGAGGCACCAAATTCTTTTGCTCCTCTGCCAGAGGTTTGCTTATTTAAATGTGGGTGTGGAACCATTTTATTAAGAGCGATTCCATAATTGTGAATGCCTCTGTCCCTGGTTTTTGTTTTTGTTGTTTCAAATCCTGCTATCTGATAGGGCACTATACCAGCAGGAATTTTAAGAAATGCAGCAGCCTGGCATGGCAACTGCTCAGCCGCAGCAATCCAGCTTCACTACAAAGATGCAGCAGCTAGTTTTGCTGCCAGGAAGCTATTACCAGGAACCACCCAAGAGAAGTGGTGGCAGCAAAGCAGGATCGTGGGGCTGACCAGGCGGCATGCAGGCCAGTTGATGGATGACGAAGCCAGGCAGCTGCCTAGATTGCAGCCACCCATCAGCTGGGCAGCTGAGAATGCTAACACCGATTTATAATCATGTGGCTGTCATGTGATAATAAATAGAATTAAATCTCAACATATAGTGTGAGGTTTATCATGTATGCATCTGGGTTCTCAAACTGATTAGAAAAAAATCAGAAAAGCTGTCTGGGTTGTCAAGTTACAGCTAGGACATAATGATCAACATCTGTCAGCTGGTAACAAAAATGATGTGGGCCCACAGCCTTCCTGTGTTGCCATCAGGCGGGCTTTCTTCAATGTGTGTTTTGAAGTGAATGAAAGTAAAAGCAGAAAGACTGCCTTACCACACAGCAAAATGAAGATATATTTTATATACAACGGGTATAAAATGGGCTAATTAACAAGCGATTTTTAAAATTTCCCAGCATATTGTCTGAAGGTAGTGCATCGGTAGCATTTATATGCTACTAAGTTACATAGAATTAATAAAGCTATATCAGATAAATGCTGGAGGAAATGTGGACGAAAAGGAACTTTGGAACACATGTGGATTTCTTGCCCCAAAATAGAAGCATTCTAGTGCGAAGTAATTAGATGGACAGAGACGCTGACCAATCAAAAATAGATATGAATGAAACATTGTTATTTACAGGGGGAATGAGAAACTTGAAAATAAAGAATTAGTAGCAAATCTTACAGGCACAGCAAGATCCAACATTGCTAGAAATTGGAAAAATGCCCAAGATCTCTCATTGCACATATTTACTAATAAGATCTGGCATACAATGTTGATGGAAAAAATGACTAATAAAATTAGATTATATAGAGGAGAAATAAGGCATAGTCAATTCACCAAAAACTGGAAGCCTTAGAAAACAATTTGGAGCATTTGGTTTATATTTCTTTAAGATGAAATGGGGAATGGTGTAAATGTGACATTGTGAAATGTGGGGAATAGCAGGTGGTCAACAGTTAAATTACATAAGAATATGACAGATTACTGTGTTAAGCCTCGTATTTATTACTTGTAACATGATGGATTGTCATGATTTTAAAATATTTTTCAATTGTACATTTGCTATTTAGGATGGTGAGTTTAGCTCCCCTCTAGTTCCTGAATCTGTCTCTCCACATTCAGACATAGTTAAGAGACATATTGTTATTATGGAAGCTGTTTCTACTTTGACATAGTACTGATCCCTCCAAATGCATGATTATGTTAAGATTTGTGCCAATGAGAGACTATTCTGGATGTAATTCTCTTTTATCACAATATATAGTTTGGGCATGGATCCGAACACAGGAATCTGTGATCTAAGCAGGTAGGATTCACCCCAAAACTGGGGGGCAGGATACTTCAGCAGTTCCTATTTTAGGGTCATCCATCAATATACAACATTTTTCCTTTATATAAAAGACATATTAAAATATATACATTAAATATTTCCTAAATATAATGTGAAATGCATGAATTATTACTGAAATATTACTTTCTAAGACTATTATCCAACAGTCTGTAACCTATAAATAATTGTTTTTATCTCAACTATTTCAGATTCATTTATTTCATAGAATTAGAAAATCCTTATTTCACATTATAAAAACGTTCAAAGATAAGTTTTACAAAATACAAACTATGTACAGAAAATATAACCAAAACAATGTTACAAAGGCTTCCACAATGAAGCCATTCAAATACAGTCTACTTAATTAAAATGTACCCTCAAAATATATTAGAATAAATGAGTTTCATTTTTCACAATGCTGTGAGTAGATAGAGAAGGAGGCAGGCTACCTTGACATGGCATTTACTTTTTGTGTCATTACCAACAAAAAAAAAGAGAGAGAGAGGCCCTTTCTCATTAATATGGCCATACTATTTGGAACAGTGCTATTATTATCAGGTAGAATGACAAGAACTCAGGACTTAAGGGAAAGAAAACAGTATGCTTCGTCATTACGACTACATCTGTGAAAAGAAGAACCAATCTTAGGTATTTTGTTTCCTGGATTCCAAACAATGTATACGTAAGCTTTTTTAGAAACATAAATAACAATTTGTTGCTCTCAGTGGTGTTCACATTTCTCATTTGAAGCGGCCACCTCACTTTGCCGAATACCAAGGCTGAAGAAACTTGATTTTGGATACAATGCAGCAGATCCAAAATGGCCGTGGTATGTCAAAGAAAGATGACATGGGGGAGGAAGCAGCATGGCATGGCCCCCAATGGACAATTCCTCAGTATCCTGGTCTGTTGACAGGTTTGTATGCTAAACAATTGCTCCATTTAGTACTCTATCCAGTAAGTAGAGTCCTAAGTATTTATGAGATGGCCCAGAATGTCTCCTTTATTTTTATCTAGGTTTTAGACATTTTCTTTTCTATTGGACCAGTTCACCTTTCCATTTCATGGCCAGAACTTGGCCCTTAAAACAATTCACTTTGTGACACAAAGTATTACCACGGGACATTCAGATGGACATTTGAAAACAACATTGCACCAAAAGGCAGGTTCCAATAGATGAATAATGTAACAGATGCTAAAGTAAGTAAATCAGTAGGTTCCCTAACACAGAGATTCAAGAGAAGTGAAATGGAGAGATGTAGAAATTAATAAAGAAGTTTATATAATTCTCAGTTTTTTATGGATATTATTTTATAGGAACATTAAAACCAGACAATATTCAGGAAACTAACATAAACCGAGTTAACATTAAAAATGCTGGCGTCCTTTCCATTATATATTTGTCTTGATTTTTAATGTTTCAGCATAAATTTTGAATCTTAAGAACCCTATTCTAGCACTTTTGTCCAACAACCTGGTTCTGACATGGTCTTTAAAAATATACTTCCAAGCATATGTGTCATACAGTCAGATGCACAAGTAGAGGATGGATGAAAGCTAGCTTGGTGATAAAATGTGTGAAAAAGATCTAAGTCCCTAAGGGGACTTAATTGACCACAAAAACTAAACATAAGTAAACAGCAGCAAAAAAGGCAAATGCAATACCATTCTGCTTCAACAGAAGTATAGTGTCGAGAGGAAAGGAAGTACAGTAATAGTTAACAGCCTCTTATGCTATGGTCAGATCTCACTTGGAATACTGTATCCACTTCTGGGCATCACAGTTGAAGGAGCTGGGTATGTCTAACCTGGAAAAGACAGGGCTTAAATATCTTAAATAATTGAAGGATGGTCATTATGAAGATGGAGCAACATTGTTTTCTGCAGCTTCAGAGGATAGGATCCAAAACAATGGGTTCAAATTATAAAAAAAAGTAGATTTCCACAAAACATTAGGGAATAACTTTTTGATAGTAAGACCTGGAATGAACTATCTCAAAGGAGATAGTCCATTATTAGAGGTTTTTTAAACAGAGATTGGATGGTCATATGTCAAGAATGCTTTATCTGTAGGACATCCGGCTTTATCCAGAAGCCCTGGGGGTTTCTTATAGCTGTATGAGTTCATAAAAAAAAATACAACTGATATATATTAAAATGTGCAAGTCTGTCTTACTAAGAAACATTAACTTTCATGTGCTGGAACTATTCAGCTTCTCCTTTGGCTATTTTTTTCAGCTGCAAATCTGAAATCAAGACTGTGTTATCAAATTTTATAATTCATAGTACCCTCATCATTGTCATTTCTATTGCCAACATCTTGATAAGTGTGATAAGACTATCTTCCAAAACAATATTCTGGGATCTCCTTTATCAGGATTTTCCACATAAAAAGTAAGTCTGGTGATTCATTCTTACATAAATATAGGTAAGTGCTTAAAAATAATATTGTACAATTTCTTTTCCCACCATCTAAATATCCTGAAGACCTAGAAGCATACATTATAAGCTCTGTCTTTTAACATATTACATAGACTTTGAAGATTAACACTCTATAGTGAAATCTTGAGTTTTATACTTTAGAGCAAGCTATCCATTTGTAATTCTTCCAGGGTTTAAGTTTCACGACTAGTTTCTCTTGACCTGTTATGTTTCAAAATGTGTGAATCCATTCAATTTATTTTTGAAGAAGACTGCACTTCTGATCAAAAATATTCCTTCACAAAGAGATGAACATTGTTGTCCAGCCTTAGTCTGGTTTGAAGGGACACAGTCTTGTTTTTGTTCCTTCACATGGGGGATGTTTTCCAACAAAGAAAAGACTCTGTCAGACATTTGTCAATCTCTTTGTTCTGGGTGCTGTTGTTATGGCTGCTGCTGCTGTCGCAGTCATTGTCATTGTCATCGTTGTCATCATCATCATCTGTCATTGTCATTGTCGTCGTCGTCGTCGTCGTCATCGTCATCATCATCATCATGTAAAAAGTGGGAGGCAGGCTCCTTGAGCCTGACTGAATAGCTATTTAGATACAAGTTTGCAAGTATCTTATCTATTTTCTCCACCAAAAAGTGGGAAGCAGGCTCCTTGATCCTGACTGAATAGCTATTTAGATTATTAGGTACAATTTTGCAAGTATCTTATCTATTTTCTCCACCTGCAGATCTTACAGATGGCAGAATTCTTAATATTTGGGTCTCAGGTTGACTGTCTCTACAAAAATCAAATGACAGATAACATGCATTCCAGGCTTGTACAAGAGAATAGGCATGCTTTTCATATCTTCTCTGAGTTCCTGAACACTTCAAAATCTGATTCAGAGATTTCATTGAGTTGGGAGAGCAGAACAGAGAAGGATGGTCTATCGTCTTGCCTCTAAAGGGAAGAGAAGGGAGAAATTAAACACTACTTTGTGAATTCTGCTAGGAAGGCAGAGCTGAAATCTGCTGAGACAGACTGCAATGATATACTATTGATATCCTATAAGAATTACATGATGATTAAAGCAATAGAATAGCACTCATAGATGAAATCCAATTTTAGTTCTAACCAGAGTAACCCACTGAAATCAATGAGACTCTTGTTAGTGTTAATGAATACATCCCATTCATTTCAGAAGGTACAGTCTAGCTGGAATAAAATTTGACTTAGCTTGATAAGTGGTTAGAATCAATGTGGTCTCCTCTTGCCTATAATTTCTTTCTTATACTAAGGCAAGTCTACTCTCACCTGAAAGTTAAAAAGTGAGAGAAAATAGAATTGAAGAAATTGCTATGAGATGGGAATTCAGTGAGAAAACTTGCTTTTGAATGTGGTCTTATGTTACAAACACAAACTTTTGATCCTGTCATAGAAACATAATAAAAAAAATTTTTATTCACAAAGGTTAAATGAAGATTTGTATATATGGTAGCACATTCTGAAGTATAATGTTAATTCATGGACAAATCACGGACAAGTTGATTCATGATAACTTTTCTATGTCAAACATGATGTCATATTGCTGTATCTTCACTGTGCCATTTCTCCTGACTGGGAGGACCTTGAAAGTACATGACAAGAAAAGCTATTGTGTAGAGGGCAGAATGGCTGTAGTAAAAAAGGAAAATAAACCTTTGCTACTTAGCGAGGCATATGATGACATTATTTACAATCCCTACATCTTATTGTAACTAAGTAGAAATATTTATATTAAAATAACAATATAATCTTTCTCTGTTTACTAATCCCTGCATTTCTTCCCTTCCTTTTCTGTTCCCTGTATCTATTTTAGACGTGCTCCTAAACAGCTTACGTTCACACCAATTCTTTGTAAAAGTATCATGTACATATAAACACATAGAGGTGCATACACATATTTATGTCTGTATGTGCACCAGGAATGCCCATCAAGATGCATCTTAATTTAAGATGTCGTATGTCACTTTGCTTAGAACTGAACCGGAAACCAAGTTTTTGTCTATCATGGTCAGGACATCAGCCACCTCCATTAACAAGGCTCTGAGCAGGCTTAGGAAATGCAGGCTCTTCAAGGTAATTTCCTTCTTACTGCTATTGGCACAAGTCCCCTTCCTTCTGCTTCAGAATTCCCAGATAGGGTGTTCACACAAATTAAGTCACCAAGACACTTTTCTACCCTCCAGTCTTCAAAAATTCATTGACTTTCAAAATTCCAGTGAAAAATCTGATCTTACAAACCATTTTTTAAAAAAGATTATTATTTACCTTCTTGATATGATGAGATCAGCGTTCTAAATCCGCAGCTATTCTTGAACTAATGAAATGTTTTTATGGGATGGGAGTAATTTAACTTCCATACAGTGTACCCTCGATGTACGCACGGCTCGACGGACGTACTTTTCGAGGTACAGACTTCTCCGGCAGCAAGATTTCCAATCGACTTGTGGCCGGAGAATTGGCCTATGGACCAGAAGAGGGAGGCGGGGAAAGCGCCAAATTCAAAGCCGCCAGTCTGCCTCTGGATGCTTTCCAGGGCTTCTCTGCCGCTATGGGAGGCATCTCGGAGGTCCCCCCCACACCGCCAGTTGTCCTTTGGATTGGAAATTTTATGGCGGAGAAGTCTGCGCCAATTGTCCTTCGGATTGGAAATTTTATGGCGGAGAAGTCTGTACAGTACCTCGAAAGTACGCATGTTGAGCCGTGCGTACGTCGAGGGTCCACTGTACTCTCTTAAGGGATGCAAAACTGATCTCTTCCCTTATGAAGTCCATTGCACTGACCTCACTCCAGCAATGCATCATGAGCTTGTAAATGGCATTGGAGGTCAATCTGGGCTTATACAAGCGGGCGCCGGCACTGATATCTTCCACCACCTCAGCATTGGTCTTGTTCTCATAAGGTGTTTTGCCTTCAGTAAATATCTCCCACATCAATACTCCTGGAATCAAACAACCAATGTATAAATACAACCTAGCCATATTAATGTCCTAAAATTATCTTTCTCCAACCCATTTGTTTATCTTATATTTTTGTCTTCGAGACAGAGGACAAATGTGCTGTGTGTATGTTCTGTGATGTCAAGTCGGAACTGGTTTATAACTACCCTAATAGGGGTTTTAATATAAGCAAGATATTTAAGGAGTGATTTTGTCAGTCCCACTCTTCCAGTCATGGCCAAGCAGAGATGCAAACCTTGTTCTCCAGAGTCCTAGACCGTCACTCTATCTACTACACCACACTGGGAATTAATACGCTTTACAATATTAAAACATGCTTTAAATTATTAACACAAACAATATTTTTTAAAAATCAATTACTTTTTTTAAAAATTAATCAGATATCAAATTTAAAATTACTGGATAAAAAAGAGAGTAAAATCATTCTAAAATTACATTTTAAAAAATATAAAAATATATACCCAGCACCCCTATTTTTAAGAACTCTCTCTTAGGCAGTCAGTTACTGAGAAAAAAACTGCCTGGGAAGAAAGATATTTGCTTGCCTGTGAAAGGACAGCAAGGAGAGGGCCAGTCTGGTTCCTGTGGGAGGGAGTTCCACAACTTGGGATCATTGACAGACAAAGCCCTCTCTTGGGTCTACACCGCCAAAGGACCAAGACAAAGGCTCCCTTGATGATTTTTAATCCCAAATAGGCTCCAAAAGAGCTATACAGTCTTTCAGACAGTTTGAAACCCAAATCATTTAGGGCTTTATAGGTCCAATTATGTCCAGTTTCCTAATCTATCACCTACTGCTGGGGAAAGTTTTACTAATGCCCTTGGATCCCAAACTACCTTTACAGTCCATTGATAGTTAATATACTGTGTACTGAGTTGGAGAATGCTGTTCCAGACTTTCCCACTGATTCATTATGATAATTTCATGTGAATTATTTAAACTCTAGCTGCCCCAGGGTGCTTCTAGATGAGCCTTTTACTTTGCAGTCACTGTGCCGCATTCATGGATATTTATGAGAGATCCAAATGTTGTCATCTTCACCTTACAGCCGTCCCATGTTTTCGTCTATCTTTTTTTTTTCTTTACCAGGGAAAATCCATTAAGGAAGAAAGTTAGAATAATTGTACAATGCCCTTTGATTATGAGTCATAGGAGCTCTCTGTTTGAAACAACCCTCGGTGGTACAATGTCCTCAGCATCACTAGAATCCAGATCTGACTGCGAACCTGTTGTTTTTAAGGGGGCGGGGCAGAATAAGTAAAAGAATCATTACCCGAAAGATAACATTGTTAAGCGGGAACTGAGGTAACATTTTCCACAAAAAGTTTCAAGAGTTTTTTTTAATGGAAGGAGTCTCTCACAATGGGTAGGGATCAATTTCAAAACATTTAGAAGCAAAACATTTCACTTTAGTTTAGCCATTTTTCTGCCACAGACGTCTTAGCTGCAATCAAGAATCGCATAAAAGGCTATCCTAATTCAATTCCATCTCCCTATGAAGAGAGCAATGTCAATTCTGAAGCCAAGAAATGTCTTTGTGATTCAACAGTGGAAAAAACATTTACACTTTTAGGAAATTTCCTTCTTACTGCTGATTTTTTCAAAATATTCAACTATCCTTAGGTTGCTCACTCATAAACATAGTCTAGTTCTCAAACATGAATTATTTCATTCCAGATCACAGCAGAATAGTTTAATACTCCGAAGAGAATATGAAAAGACTAGTAAGTAGCAAAAAACAAAAAGCAAAAATGCAACAGCACAATGCCATGACATGACAGAGGAATCCTCTTTTGCAACCTATTCTGCACCTATTGATAAGTCACGGACAATGCTAGCATCTGCCTGTGTGTATAGGAAATATTAAACTGAACATGGCTTAAAGTATTTAGCATTAAAAGAAACCTTCAAATATACAGGTAAATCTCATACAAATAAAAGTTGTGTTGGAAAAGGTTGGAACTTCTGATGCCAGATAATTTGCAAAAGTTAACATTTTTCAGGCATAAGAATTTGAAGAAACTGCTTGAATGGAGCTTGTCAGATTAAAGGCTCTTACCAAATGACCAGACATCAGATTTGGTGCTATACCGACTATAGCAAAACACCTCTGGTGCTGACCATCTGACGGGGAATTTGGTACCCATGGAGCTGGTATACTGATCATCAAGAACGTACCTAGGACAGACAAAGTTGCTTAAATCCATATAATGCAGTACTTTCCAATATCACAAAATTACACAGAGTACCTGGAAAAAAACTCCAGCTGAAGGCCAAAGTAAAAAATATTGCCAACATGTCATTAGAAACAGAGCATCTTTAAGAGGGAAAAAGCTGTCTGAACATACAATTTAAAAAGTAGCTTGCCTTTGTTTTGTAACTGGACACTGGCAGTTAAGCATGGATTTATTTGCATAACTTCTCTGGCATAGGTTTGAAAGATTTGGATGCCAGGAGAAAAAATGGTGTGACAGGAAGAAGTAGCCTTACATTAATATGTGATCTTAACCTCAGCGATGGGAGTATATACATTGCAAATATAAGACTGAGGATTTTTTTTGGAAACTCATTGCAGAATGAGACATAGGATGTGGGGGGATTTGGAGCAATCCAAGTCATGTTTAGAAGTCTCTTATTTTTGATGTGAACTCTTTTATCTTGCACTTGAGTGATCCTTCTATTTACATGGGAGATGTTTCTTCTCCATGAAAAGGTTCCAGAGAACATTTCAGATTGCTCCAATTTCTCCCCCTTTCAATTCTTGGTACCCCTTCCCATGCCTTTTGTCATGACTGTCATTCCATTGGCCATTGCCTTTTTTTAGTAAGTGGCATAGCGCTTCACCAATACCAGACTACAGTACAATGCAGACTCATCTGATCTCATTTTTTTTTCAGTTACCTCCCTGATAGAAAAAGGGAATACTTTAGACATCGTATATCTTGACTTCAGCAAAGCTTTTGACAAAGTGTTCCATGATATTCTGATTAGCAAGCTAATCAGGTGTGGGCTGGATGGAACAACTGTCAAGTGGATACACAGTTGGCTACAGATTTGTACTCAGAGGGCAATGATCAATGGCTGGCTGGATGGAACAACTTTCAAGTGGATACACAGTTGGCTACAGATTTGTACTCAGAGGGCAATGATCAATGTCTCCTTCTTAAACTGGGGGAAGATAACCAATAGGGTAATAGCGGCCTAGAGTGGTCGTAATTGACCAGATACGCGGGATATAAATAAAATAAAGAAATACCCCAGGGCTCCTGGAGCAGGGGGTGCAGGGAATGATAATCAAATTTGCAAATGGGACAAAATTGAGTAGAATAACTAATTCCCTGGAAGACAAAAAACAAAATTCAAAATGATCTACTGTAAATAGGATGGAGCATTGGGTTGAAAACAACAGAATGAAAGATAGAATGGAGCACTGGGTTGAAAACAACAGAATGAAATTCAAAGGAAATAAATGCAAGGTATTGCACCTGGAAAAAGCAACCAAACACACAGTTACCAGAGGAAGGAAAATCTGGTAATCAGCAATACTACAAGTGAGAACGATCTTGGAATCAAAACAGATCAAAAGCTGAATATGAGCCAACAGTGTGCTGTGGCTACAAAAAAAAAAGGCAAGTGCTATTTTAAGCTGAATTAGTAGAAGTATAGTTTCCAAATCCTGCAAGGTACTTGTTCTCCTCTATTCGGCACTGGTTAGGCCTCATCTTGAGTACTGTGTCCAGTCCTGGACACCACCCTTCAAGAAGGATGCTGACACATTGGAAGAAGTTCGGAGGAGGGCAACAAAGATGATTAGCGGGCTGGAAAACATGTCCTATGAGGAAAGACTGTGGTAACTGGGCATGTTTAATCTCAAGAAAAGAAGACTGAGTGGAGATATTATAGCACTTTTCAAATACTTGAAAGGCTATCATATAGAGGAGGGACAGGACCGGTTCTCGATCAACCCAGAATGCAGGACACACGACAATGGGCTCAAGTTAGAAGAAACCATATTTCAGTTGAATATCAGGAAAAACTTCCTAAATGTTAGAGCAGAACAATTACCTCAAGGGGTGGTGAGTGCTGCAATACTGGAGGCATTCAAGAGAAACCTAGACAACTGCCTGGCAGATATCCTTTGATCTGTATTCATGCATTGAGAAGAGGAATGGACTCGATGGTCTTTTAGGCCCCTTCCAACTTCATGGTTCTATGAATACATCAACTTAGCATAGATACTCCCTCATATCTGAAATAGTGCCATGCCACTTTGGATAATATTTTTTAAAAAATTGTGAGAAGGGGAAAAATAGAGGGGGAAGTTTCTCCACTGTCCTTTCCACTGTCACAACTCACTGCGTGTGCCACAGGGTTGTCACCAAAGGGAACACCACCCACAGCTCTATTTGGGAATGAATTAAGCAGCCACACTTTAGAGTGAGATAATCACTAGTGCTCCCAATCACACCAAATAAACTGCAGCCCCAGCACTGCACCAGAAAGGGGTGCAACAGCTCATTAAAAGAGTCTTACTTAAAATATATGTGGTCACTAGAAAATAGGGTGCACCAATCACACCAAAAGCAAACCAAATAGTTGCCTATATGCTTGTCTGATTGCCCCTATAGATTTCTTAAGAGAGAAAAAATTCTTAAGGGCTAGCTGAATCAGAGTATCACAGTGAGAGCTCCTCTTATTTTCAGCTTGTGCAAATTAGTTGGCTTTGTCACATGTCTTCAGGACTTAGGCACATGATTGCTTTGATATCCAATTTCTCAAACATGAAAGACTTCCTCAGTGACATCTCTCACATCTTAATAAAATCTTCACCAGTCATATCTCTCCAACATTAAAATGTTTCCAGCTGTGATGAGTTATGTATAGTAACATTTTCTGACCTCACACATATTGAGACCTATACATACATACATACATACATACNNNNTACATACATACATACATACATACATACATACATACATACATACATACATACGTACGCACGCACGCACGCACGCACGCATGCACGCACGCACGCACGCACGCACGCACGCATGCACAGAGAGAGAGAGAGAGAGAGAGAGATTAAAGACTGTATGTATTTCAGTATGACCTTTCATGGATACATGAAAGCGAGGAGACTCTCTGTCCTGTCAGCGTGCCAGTGTGGTCAGCTCTGTGGGGAGGCAGGGGAAGGGCCAGCTAGGCTTCTTCCAAGATTGGAGCAATGATGATAACAAGGGAGCCGAGTGCTGTGCAGAGTCTGGTAAATGGCCTGGCCAGTTCTGGGGAGCGTATGTATTTCAGTATGACCTTTCATGGATACATGAAAGCGAGGAGACTCTCTGTCCTGTCAGCGTGCCAGTGTGGTCAGCTCTGTGGGGAGGCAGGGGAAGGGCCAGCTAGGCTTCTTCCAAGATTGGAGCAATGATGATAACAAGGGAGCCGAGTGCTGTGCAGAGTCTGGTAAATGGCCTGGCCAGTTCTGGGGAGCGGGATGGGTGGGATTGTTTCTCCAAGAAAACGAATATGAAGTGCCCATGTGTTGTTTGAAATATAACAGATTGAATCTAGCTACTGAATGGTAAGATTATGTTTGGAAAATAGCAGATGATGCTAAGCAGAGAAATAGTGGCAATGAGAAGGTGTATCTCCAACCCCCCATTTGATGAATGTGATACATGAAAGGTTTAATTTCCTTTAGTATTCACATGGATCACATTGCTGTCTCCGTGAACAGGTTTTATCGATCTTTGAGAACCTAGAAAATGTAAGTTTTATCGTTCTTCAAGAACCTGGAAGATCTATTTGACTGGAGATGACAGTGCAGCAAAATAACGTGATTTCTACTAATAATAGAAAACGATGCCCCCAGCAAACGTTTGTTTTCTTTAAAGTGATTGGAGAAGAAAGGAAGCGTTAGAAGATGTCGCAGCAAGAATGGAGGAAAGAATAAGCTCCAGATCAGGTTAGGATTTTTGTCGTTACAATATGTTTGGTGTCAGTAGCATTTCAAAAGGAAAGAACAATATAACTGGAATTTAACATCTAATCAATGGTTAGTGATGCATATAAGGTTAAAGTTACCGTGACATTCCAAAATCCGATACTTTGACAACTTGGTATTCTCCCACCAAACAATTCCGAGCAGCCTGTGGAGAAAGCAGAGACAGAGGGCATTTTTAGGCAAGACTTTTTTGTGTGCATTTGCTCCCCCTCCTTGCCTGCTTTCATCTGCTTCATCTACAAGAGGTTAGGTTTGCCCCATTGCCTGCTAGCTGTCCTAGAAGTTTTAATTCCTTTCTTTTCTTTGATGCACACCTCCTCTAGTCCACCAACAGTCCCACACGATAGTGTGATCTGGAATGTAGAAAATCCCTACCACACTGTGTTTTTCTGCCAAGAGGATTCACTTGTTCAATTACCTTTCAGAGGTGTGTTCTACAGCCACACCCCTTTTCTTGCTGTTTCACACATCCTCAGGATATTGCTCAGTCAGTTTAGACCAATGGTTCCTAACCTTGGGGCTCCATCTGTTCTTGGGCTACAAATCCCAGAAATCCTGGCCAGCACAGCTAGTGGTGAAGGGTTCTGGGAGTTTTAGGCCAAGAACATCTGGGGACCCAAGATCAGGAACCAATGGTTTAGAAAAATATGCATGCAGTGATGCCTGCTGAAAGAGAGGCACTGGTGTAGGGCATCACTCATTCCTGCTTCAATTATAGTTTAACACAGCAACAAGACTCCAAGGAAGAATGAGGGATCTCCCTCATCAAGGTGCATAGAGAAATCTATATTGAGAAAATGGGGATTGATTAGAAGAAAAATTATTTTGAAAATGTCAAGTAGCCAGAGGAATGAAAGCTAGAGAGGGGAAGAAATCCAGTTGAGATGCTCAGATAAAGGAAGATTTTGAGATGAAACAGAATAAAGTTGGGGAAATGAAAATGGGACTGTTCTGAGTTCTACTGACTTCTACTGACACTCAGAGCTAAATTACAAGCTGTTGCTCTTCTCTTTCCTACTTTTTCCCCCCTTTTTGTGAGGTATGCCAGGCTGAGAGAGCATAACGCTTCCAAGCTCATCTAATGAGTTTCATGGCCCAATGAGGATTTGAGCCAGGTTTTCCTGAGGCCATTCTCATAGCCAAACACAGTAACTACTACACTATGCAGAATGTAGCACATCACTTATTTACGTCTGAAGTCTTGTTTTCCTACTGAAGGGGGTGGATGGGAAAACTTCAGAAAGAAGTCTAGTCCTAAAATGGGGCAAATCCCTCTTTCTCAGAGGGTAGAAAATGGTGGTAACCAGCTGTGATACACAGAAAAAGGGAAATTTGAGTATAAGAAAAGAGCAATATAAATGAATGAATAAAAGAGGAGCCCATAACTGAGCAGTTGCACAACTGTGGTCAAACAAAAGCAAATTAGATTATAAAAGGAGGACTTTTCTAGGTTGGGGATCAATGTATTTTACTGATATTCAGATGTCACTAATAAGCAGGGTAAACAAAGCATCAAATAGCACTGTGGACAAACCAGACAAGATTTGGTCAGGCAAGACACAGATTTAAAATGTTAAAATTATACTGTAGAAAAGGAAGCTGAGCCTTGCATGATCACACTTTGGAAAGGAGGCACTACGGCAATGGAAAGGAGTCAAAGAACTCACACAGAGCAACTTGCCTCAGTGGTGTAGAGAATGCATTATGGGATTTATCATAGTAATGCAGTGATTCAAGAATAAAATTGCATCTAACTTAAAACAGCATAGCAGTGGTTGGGAAGCACATGAGGAATCTACCTGGAAACATCCAGGGAATATTATGCTGCTCATTGCTTTTAAGGCAAGCTGAAAGGAATGTATCCTGCCTGTCTGTTTGTCAGGCTAGTTTCAGCTTTGGGCAGTTTCCTGATTAGCACTTCAGACAAGCCAAAGAAAATTTTAAATTTCAGATATTTTTTGAAAGTAGTTTCATATTTGTTTAATTATTCATTTACATTTACAATTCCAATGTTATGCACATTCTCTCTAGCTCTGTATGTGTTTCTCTCTTTATGTTTCTCTCTCTTCCATCTGTTGGCTCTGTCTGACCCCAATGACACAATCACCTAGGCAAACTTAATTGGCTAGCCAGCGTGATAGCATCACTGTATGATTCTTGGCTGGCTGGTTCATGAAAATGATCAATCTATGATTTAAAAAAAACTGCTTAAAAGCTGTTTTGTTTTCTTTCACTGTTATCACCATGCACCTATATCTGAATACTGACACTGTCTGAAAAGCAATGTGGCATTATGCCCTTCTGTACACAATCCGTGTTTCTCTAGGATCAGTCATGTGTAGCTAATCAAGGAAGCAAAAACAGAAGTAGCAACGCAAGGGTAAAAAAACAGTACAAAATAGCAGGCAAGAACACAATTATCAAAAAGCTTAGAAGGTATATAATAGAAAGGTTTTTCCTTTGGCTAATATCTCAGATACCCAGTCTACAACCATTATTTTTCACCTATGGACTGAAACAAGACAATGTTCAATTCAACCCCAACCATTCAAAATTAATAATCTTAAACAGTGATAATTTCACTTTTTCCCATTTGAAAACTTGCTGATTTCCTTATAACAGACCCAGGCACAACCCAGACATACCAGGTCTCTGTGGATAACAGACGCCTGCTCCAGATATGCCATTCCTTCACACACATCTTGGCACATTCCCAGAAGGTCTTCCTTTGAGGAACTCCCTCGCTGCCTCTTTAGGTAATCAGACAGGCAGCCATTTTCCATGAACTCAAACACGAGGCACATGGGAGCTTGTTGCATGCAAACCCCATGGAGCTGGACTAATTTGGGGTGAGACAGCTTCCTGTTGATACAAAGGGAGAAATCAGTCTTGTTCTATCTAGTCCTTTGCAAAAACTGATATACGTCCAGTATTCAACAGGATGTGTTAGAAAGCAGAAAGAAAATGAATATGAAGGAAGAAAGCCAGACACTGAAATGGTATATAAACAAATTATGAAAGATGACGAGCCATAGCTCCTGGAGAACATCATGTTACATTCTTCTTACCACCGTGTGTCTTTCTTGAAAATAAAAACAAATTCTTGACCATATAATCAATCTTTTATAGGCATTTCCCTTATTTTCTGTTAAAGCAAGAGACTTGGTAAAATTAGAAGAAAAAGAAAATAGAACCCTGTGCAGAATAAGTGCTGCGTTGATTCCTTTAGTTCTCCAACAAAACTTGGCCACAAAAATATGTGAGATGAGCCTCCTCTTTGTTAGAAAATAAGTATCAGATTCTAAACCATAGGACTGTTGGTACAGCAGACTGTGATATAGCTCTCTGCAGGAACTAAAGAACTTACTTTTTACTGAATCAGATCATTAGTCTGTATTTCCCAATATTATTGACTCTAATTGGCAGCATTGGCTCCCAAGAGTGTCAGGCAGAAGACTTTCCTAGCTCTATCTTGACATCCTTGGTATTCCCTGTGGTCAGCCATCTAGGGTTTACTCAGGTCCAAACTTGCTTAGCTTACAAAACCAGAAGAGGCTGGATGTGTTCAGCAGGGTGTGGTTGTTCATAGTACAGTAGCTAAGGGAACTACGTATACAGAAAGTGTAGTTCAGATTTTTGACTAATCCACTTTGTATCCACTGAGGCTGGCATGAGTGACATCAAAACCAACCACTTCCCATTCAGGAGTGACCTACACAGCAGTAATAATTACGACACATCACTTGCATCTAAAAAGGGCAAGTAATGTGTGGTCCTCATTGTACTGTTTGACTCCAACTCCCACCAGTTCTAGATAGCCCAGCAAGTAGGCAGACATGATGTGGTCTGATAAAATCTGAAAAGCTACAGATTACCCATCCCTGTTCTAGGGCAACCAAGCCTTTATATATTCACTCATGTTCTTGGTTATTTTTAAATTGTAAAGTATTTTCAAATTGTGATGTACCTTCTGATCCCTTTTAAAATGTTGAGAACATGTTCTTAGTATTTCTTTCTGTCCAAACATTCTTAGCATTCTAAAACAAACTCCTTGAGCCACAGTCTGAAGAACGGCAAATATGAGTTGGAAGGGCCGTGTAGCTCAGTGGTAGAGCACTTGCTTGTGTTCCAAAGGTCCAAGGTTCAGTCCATAGCAGCAAGAATAATCTAGGAGCTATAGCCCCCAAAAGTATTTTTCCCTGTTTCTGGATATAAGGTAGCTTCCTCTACCCCTAAATCCCCCAACATTAGACCTGACATAGTGTTGTAGCCTTTGACAAGTATTTGTCATCCTTACATCATGACTTGGGCCTCCTCAACAAAGTCTTCTTCTGACATTGCTCCTGGGCGAATAGTCTTTATGGCCACTTTCATCCGATCAAGCCAATAGCCAAGATGCACCACTCCAAACTGGCCAACACCAATCTCCTGCTCAAATGTCAGTTCCTGTGGATTAATCATCCATTTACCTAGGAAAAAGAAGCAGGTGCAACTCTCTCAATTCTGTTTATGGGGTGTGGGGGAGTGTTCTTTTGGACTGATTACACTATCCTACAACTAGAATTACAGTTTTAAAGATGTAGAGTGATTTAGCTTAATTATGTAGTTCTTTAATTGATGACAATCATGAAATGTGTCTGGTAATTCAGGATTTTCCAGTCCAGAGCATAATCATAACATTCTGTTGAAAAGCTTCCCAAGAGTCAATATGTTATTTCTCTTGGAGATAATAGAGGACGCAATGTCTTGATATCAGGCATCATGCTTGAGAGTTTGTTGTCGGAGATTGAGCACCTCCTGCTGTGGACTACAATACCAGTTTCTATGAAATAGGTAATAGGCAACACTGTTAACTTCCCTGGAATGCTGAAAATAATGTCAAAATAATTCACCTTGCTGACTCGACCACAAGCCATCTATGCATTTGGATTTAGACTATATCTCTACTTTGTATTGGTCAAGTTACATCTCTATGAGTCTCATCATTTGACTTTCTATGAAATGGATGTCAGACCAGAAGACTGTGGGTTTGATTTTTTTTCCCCCAGTCTGGAATTCAAGGCCTCTTTTGCTGTCTTCTTATACTTTTGGGTAGGACATTCTCCTTTTAGCCTCTTCTGCTGCCTCCTGAGTATTGATATGTTATAAGTGACCATTCTCACATTTCCATCAGCCATTTTGTGAAAACTGCATGACAACCATTTTGTGAGCATACATATAAAATTCTCTCCAAATTCCAAATAATTCAACTGACGCCCCCAGAGAAGTGGGGTTTGCGTCTCTTCCAACTTTACAAAATTATGTTTTGCATTTAGGGAGCAGCGTTAATTGATCCCATTTACTGGTAATATCAACAAAACATTTTGTAACACCTCACGAATACCCATAGCTAACTTTGTCAGGCTCTAGTCACACGAGGGAAATGTTACGTATTTATCCACCAGTTATGTTGGTATTGTTTTTTCCTGGTCACACAATGCAGAGTCAAGACTGAGACATCTTCTCGGCCAGCGGTGTAACTGTGGAACACTTCCCCATTGCCTTGAGGGTTGTGTTATTTTGTACCTTTGTTGTACCAGTGCATTCCTTACCAGGATTGCCTGTGTGCACGACCTGTCCTGCTTCTTTTCAAAATCAAACCTTACTGCAGCACACTTTTTTTTAAAAAAATGTCATGTCCAATACATCAATATTTTGGTAAAAGTATGTCACCGGGGAGGGGGGAGGCGGGGTGGTGCTGCCGTTACACTACTGGCGAGTAATATATTTTTCTTTCCTGTGGGAAGATACATTGAAACATTGGCATGCCAATGTCATGGGGGGATGATTGACAGTACTGCTGTGCGGATATCCCACACATTCCACTGTATGCAATGCATTTCTGCAGGGGCAGCCAATGCAACAGAGGGACACTTTCCTAAACAGAAACCCACTGAATATTTCTGATCAATGTTCGCTCTAATTTCACACACCCCATGCGTGAGTCTGTTCCAACTTGCATGGGGTTCCATTGTGATAGGGACAAAAGAGGCTGGAAACATTAGCTGTGGGTGCACAGGGGAGAAGGAAAGCTGTACGGAGGGAGGTGGAGTCAAGCACGCTCATGCACTCATGCGCATTAGAGGGAGACTTGTTTCTTATGTATTGATGTATCGATAAATATTATATACGTATAAATATATTATTTATATAAATCATATCTATTATAATATTATATAATATATATAAATCAAGGGGCTAAATTGCCCCTTGAAGCAAGAGAGAAAATAAAGTGGTACCATGGTGTAGCTGGCCATAACAATTCAATTAGGAATAAATCAATATTGCTAAAAGTTCTTGGGACTTTCATCCCAGGATATAAAGTATGTGACCACAATTCCGTACAACAGATGCATGGAAAGTATTGGAAGAACGAAAACATTTTCCTCATGTGACCAGGGCCTCTCATGAGAAAGTGAATGCCTCACTGCATTTCTTAATCTTTAAAGGGCTGTAAGTTTTGCTCCAAAACACAACTATATTTCTGTTATTTGACCCATTCATTGTTGTATTGTTCATTGTTCGAGGTAACTGAATCACCCCTGCTGCCGTCATTCAGACAATGAGACCAAGTGAAGTGAACATAAGTGAAGAATAAATGTAGTAAAATCCAAGTCATCAAGTCCCCTTACCATAACTTAGCCCAGCTGTAACAGGGGCCTTTTCTCTCCAACAGGAAACAGCACAACGCAAACGAGTAACAAGACCTGTATTATGAAGAATAATAATACAGTATAGAGGATTGAAAGAAAAAGGAAGAAAGAATGCTGATCATAGTAAGTCTAGGAAAAGAGAGAGGCCAGTTAGCCAAGGATACCTGGAGATTGAGGAGGTAGATTATGTTATGGCTATATTTCACATACTGATTTTTAATAACTAATTATATTCTTGTCAATGCCTAATACAAGAAAACTGCTGTTATTAGGTATAAAATAGTTATTTGCTACCCTACCCATCTGAATTCCCAAGGACGTTCTATGAAATTTCATTGCCATGAAATCATATAAGCAGCATGCCTATCTATGTAAACATCTAGGCGTTATCTATCCATTTATGTATTTATTTACAATATTTATATAGCCATTGTATTACAATTTGCAGGCAATGTGGAAAAATAAACAAACACAAATGCAGGAAACGCAATAGACAAGTACAATAAAATCCAAGAGTCTCCAACATACAGAATGCTTAAAGATAAACTAAAAGCTCCTCACCAGTTACCAAATGGTAAAGGGATGTTCTATTGTACTAAAATTATAACAGCAATGCTTCCATGTTTTATACCTGAAAGGTGGAAGAAGCATTAAGTGTGCAGCAGAAATTAGCATTCATAAAAAACTTACAGATATACAAACTGGTCACAGCTCTCATGTCAGAGCTGGGGCATAAATTGATTTCATTCTTGTCCTAAGAGGACCGTTAAATAGCCAGGTACCACCAGCTATGATCTTTTTGACTCACTTCACTGCTTTTGGCAAGAGAAGGAATTAACAAAACTAGTTTCAGCTAAAATGAAGGGAGGTGGAGGTAGTGAAGTTACTTTGGGGAAGTTACTCTCTTCAAGAAGATTCTGAGAAACCTGAGACCTGATTGGTGAATTGCCTTGGAAGGTCTAAAAGGGGGAATGATGGGTATAAAAATGAAAAAGAGATTTTACTTAGTTTAGTCTAGTCTTTCTCAAGGGAATGTTGTGCTCATATGCTGCTTTGCTACCTGATTTGTTCTGGAATCATGTTGAAGTTCTGCTTGAATGTGAGTATTAACTTAGGATGGCTAGCTTTTTTAATTATCTCTAGAAATTGTTCTGGAATTGTCTTTGTCTCAATATCTTTTGAATACTTATTTACTGCTTTTTGGATTTTTGAAACTATTTCTTTGAACTGTTTGGAACTTTATTTTTACTTTTTTGCAGCAACTTTCAGTAAAATAATAACATTTTGCAGCAGTTTGATTATTTGTGGAAAATAGGTAGATTGGTACTAAAGAAAGGCTTTGCGTTGGCCACCTATTGGAAGGGCAGGAAGATTTCTCCCAGCCATCAGCATATTTAGCCTTCCTGGAATCTACCCACACTAGGAAGGTCTGGGAAGTGTAGCTGAATGATGAATGTGGGCCTCTGTGACTGAGCCATAACTTTGACACTGTTCTCTTAGGAATAGGTCTCCTTTCTCCTTTTCTTGCCAAAAGGACTTATTTTCCCTTGGTGAATTCTTATTCTCTTTTGTCAACTTCTGGAATTTAGAAGCTGACAAGCTATAGAAACCTTATCTGTTTAGCTTCTGGCTCAGCTTTCTTCTTGGAGCAAAGAAAAGAAATGCCAGTGTCTAATAATTTTTATTGTGTTCTGCACTGATGGTCATTTTGAGCATCCATACATCCAGGGGAATATGCTAGCTTTTTTCTGCTTTGAACATTTTTATTCACTGCAATAAACTTCAAAACACTTCAGATACCACAAGTCACTTTTTTCTTGCTTCAAGCAATCATTGAATCAAGTGGATTAAGGCCCTAGTCCTCAGGATTGATACAGAGACTCTTTTTTTAGAGAGCAGGTACTACTCCAGAGAAAACTCTTGTTCTGGCCTTACCTCCTGAATTGTGCTGGTGATAGTTGATCAGTTCTGGGATGCAGTTAAAAACATGCTTCTCTGCCACATAGTACTTCTTGGGATTGTCACTCGTCTCTTTGATGTGATAATGCTTTATAACAGGGTTATTGTCATTGCTGCTAAAAACCAACACAAAATATACTTTTCAAAAGAGTGTACAGCAGCAAAAACTCCAGTAAATTGCCAACTAGCTGTCGTGAATAGTGGGTGATGAACTATAAACTGTTGGTCCAAATTTGGCAAACTTGTGAAGAAAGTAAAACAGTCTTCTTAAAATCATGATAATCTTTTAACTTCATTGCTTTGTGGTTCTTCAAAATATAATTGTAAATGAAAGTAGATAATAAGAATTATTATTTTTAATAAATCAAAGGTTTTATGGATGACTGATTCACCCAAATAAAAATGAATTGACATGAAAAAATCACTAAAAGGCATTTGAAACAGGGTATATTATAAGCCCAGAGAAATGAGTACCCTTGGGTAAAATGGAAGGTCTCTTTCTAAAAACCTGTTTGGAAAAAAGCAAAAAATCAACACAATATCAGGCAAAAACAAAATATATTTTTAAAAGGACAAAAATGTTGCAGCACCTAGAAGAATAACATATTTTAATGTAGGCTTTCTTGGACCTTTTTAACCCACTTTGCCAGACATATGAGGTGGAAATTCCTATTTTCCACCTCATATTTGGACAAAGTTTGCTAATAAGGTCCATGAAACTTTACATTAAAATACAATAGTCGTTTAGATGCCACAATGCTTTTGTCCTTTTTTAAAAAAAAATCTTTTGTTTTTGCTTGATGTGATTGCACATACTAACACGGCTACCTCTTCTAAATTTATCTAATGTGGCAAACGAGGGTTGTGAATGCATTATCATATACAGTGGTGCCTCGCACAACGAGTGCCTCACACAACAATGAATTCACATAACGATGTCTTTTTCTGATCAAGTTGCTGCCTCACACAGCGATGTTTCCTATGGGGGATTTTCACATAACGATGTCCCTATCCCCTCATTTAAAAGTGTCTTAAACTGTTAGGAAACTGTTTTAAATGCTTGGCATCGATAGTCCAGCTTGTGAAAGGCATGCAAACTTAATTTGGTGTTGTTCTGAGTCTTTGTTCATTTTTGCTGATTTTTTGACTCAGAACAACACCAAATTAAGTTTGCATGCCTTTCACAAGCTGGACTATCAATGCCAAGCATTTAAAACAGTTTCCTAACAGTTTAAGGCACTTTTAAATGAGGGAAAAGAGACATCGGAATGCCATTGAAATGTATTGAGTCGGCTTCAATACATTCCAATATAGGAAACATTGTTTCACTCAACGATGTTTCCTATGGGGATTTTCACTGAACGATGGCAATCCGTTCCAACTGGAACGGATTAACCGGTTTTCAATGCATCTCTATGGGAAATGGTGTTTCGCAGAACGATGTTTCACACAGCGATGAATTTTTTTGAACCAATTAACATCGTTGTGCGAGGCACCACTGTATTATCATATACACTTATATTGGTCAGGTTAACAATTTTAAATTAGTTTATCTGAGTATGTGGATCACTGAATAAATTCACTTTAGCTTTCCACTCTAAATAAAATTAAGTGAAAAGGGTGCAAACATGCATAACAATTGCTTGTTTGCAAATATATTTTATATACGAGTGCATCCTTAAAAAAGAAAGAAAGAAAGAAAGAAAGAAAGAAAGAAAAACGAAGGAAGGAAGGAAGGAAGGAAGGAAGGAAGGAGTACACACACTGTATAGTGATGGTTTCATTCATATAACAACTTATTTAAATGTCTTAGAAAGAAGTACTGTTTTGCGTAGAAAACATTTATAACAATTATATCAAATAAGTGAATCGATACAAGCTTTTGTTCCGACCTGAGAGCTTTTGTGAAGACTGAGACAGTATACATGCCAGGTTGCCTTGAATCTCTCACCATAAAGGCCCCTTCTTTACCCTGCAGACAATTGGAAGATAATGTAATCTATCATATCTTACTAGACATGATTCATATGAGAAGACAGGAAAAGTAGTTTTGAAATCTTACATTCCTGATTCACTTTGCCATCCCTTGTGTCTGTAATAAATAATTAACTTTGAGAATGAAGTTCATACAGAGGCCCATGCCCTCCCTGACAGAGGGGAGTTCCCCAGTAGAAAGGTAGCCACCTCCTCTTGAAGGTGTTCAATGCAGATCTGACTTAAAGATAAAAAAAATTCCAAGGAGAGAAACCAAGGATTTGCCATTGCCCAGACACTTGGACTCAGCAGGCATCTGTCACTTGGCCACTGCCTTCCACACTTGAATAAAATGCATTCAAGTTTACATTGTACATTAGCAGGGAGAAGGTCCTGTAGCATCTGCTGCATCACTGATCTCTGGCCTTGCCCCCAAACAGATACCCTGTTTCCCCCAAAATAAGACCTAACCTGAAAATAAGCCCTAGTATGATTTTTCAGGATGCTCATAATATAAGCCCTACCCCCAAAATAAGCCCCAGTTAAGTGAAACCCCGCCACCCTCCACCACTGTGCAGCAACCAGAAGAAAATGACATGACTGTATTTGAATAAATGTAGATTGTTGTATATGGGGGAAAAATCCCCTGAAAATAAGCCCTAATGCGTTATCTGGAGCAAAAATTAATATAAGACCCTGTCTTAATTTCAAGGAAACATGGTAGCATCAAGCCAAAAAGCCAGGGAAAAAAATCAGAGACAACAAACAGTGGCACAGTGACGGCTGCAGAATCAGGAAGGCAAATGGTTGTACTGACACCATTGACATCCTGCTACACATCTCCACTTCAGTTTCAGCTGGCTTGGTTTAGACCACAGACCCCGTGCTTTGACAGCATTATGTCTTCCAGGAGTTACAGACAATGATGCAAAATGGTTTTGCTCATATTTTAACTTGCAAACAACCAAGCACGCATGCCCACGTAAAATAAAAGGTGATTATCACCTAAAAGGATTTACCCTACCTCTTCTTTGAGCAGTGTTTCTGCCTTGCTTCTGCTGATATTTTTGTTGTACCACCTGTAACGATCAAAGAGTTAAGGCTAGGATGTCTAAAACTTAGCTCTAATCTTCTTGGCTTTGGGGTCATTATAATTTACAGTACATCTCCTTACTCTAAATTGTAATGCACAGAAATGAAACTGGATCTAGGAAATATTAATGTGTGAAATATGACAATGAACTCAGATTTATGTTAGCAATTACAAATCAAGAGATTGAGAGTTTTCAGTGCAAAATTGAACTGCCTGCTCATGACCATGATAGGCATGTCTACAATAGAGACTTGGGATGGCCACTGCCTTTATATGCTCATGACAATGAAGCTAATTAATCAGACAATATCTCTAAAAGAGAAAAGTTTTTGTGAAAAGGAAAAAAGCTGCGGTTAAATGATAATTTAAATAAGAAATTCAGACCACAATGAATCCATATTACTCAACAAAAGTAAATTGACAAATTCTTTTTGTACCTTAACTTCTACTCCAAGTGAACACCACACCAAAATCCCACTGGCCAGCCATCCTTATCTAAAACATCATTAGTGTTGTAGAAGAGGTGAAATGAATCACAGGCTTTGATTGTGTTAATCCAGAATATAAATCTTCATTAATTTTGCTGTTGTTCACCTTGCTGCCTGAGATTGACAGTATTTGTGAATTTTTTCTGCTTTTTTTTTTTTACAAAAAAAATCATGGAAAGTAGGGTGTTTTGTTTTTTTGCACAGAAAGCCTCTACTGCATGAAACTCAAGGTTTTTTAACATAAATCATTCTTTCTTTCTTGCATGAAAAACATAGGTTTTTTTTTCCATGAATGCTGTTGCTCAATTAAAACTGCTGGTCTTTTCACTTTGCCATAGAAATGAAATCTGAAATCTGCTGCTCATTTTAATGGTAAGATATCTTAGTGTATCACCATCTAGAAACAGCAGATTTACAGCATAGTCCTATCCACAGTTATACAGCCATTGCTTATCCAATCCAATGCATTCATATTTAGAAGGAGGAAGGCTCATGGTGTATAGCAGGCTTGGGAAACAGATTGTTTTTCTTTTTTTAAGAAATGAAAGAGTGGAGCTTACTCTATCTTTATACTTGAAATGGAAGATACAGTTTGAAAAAAGTAGTGCATCAATGTACTTGATTTGGGCATTGATTTATCATCTACATTTCTTTACTCTTTAGGATATAGTTTTAACCACAGCTTTTTGCTTTAAACGTTTTTTTGGGGGGGGGAATTTCCCTGCTTTTTGAAAGGTAGGCATATTTAGACTTTAATGTCAGGAAATGAAAATCTGTCTTTACTGAACAATGTAAGATAATTTTTTTAAACTACTGTAGAAATAAACAAAGCAAACTATCAAAAGGGAGAGGGGACAATCTCACTATAGAAAACAGGGTTACTAAATTTATTTACTGAACTCCTCAGTCCAGTGAATCTAAGGACGCTCCATCTAATTTAATTACATTGTAACAGATTGTGTATATGTGATATTATATTGCTACTTTATGCTATTTTTCATTGTATTTTTGTATTATAATCATATCTTGATATATCTGCTGGTCAGTGACAGTAATAAAGCTCATTCATTCATTCAGTATAGAAAACAAAATAAATTCTTACTTCTATCTGGATTTGTAAGGAAACTAAATGCATTAACTGCATTCCCTTATATAGAGAATCACTATGTAAGTTAAATCTGCCCTCCCCAAAGCTTCCCTTCAGAAAATATTTCCAGGATCAGATTTGTTACACCAAAAGCTAGTCTTGTTTGGCATGCAGGGGAGATAACTACAATTTACACCCCACAGTTGCTACTGCACATTGCCCAGCTGGGTAAAAGGAATAACCAGAAACTACTGTACATACTTTTGGGAGGTGGCAGAACAGAGAGGAAAAATTGCAACAGTAATAACAGCTGTAGTAAAATAACAGCTGTAGTAAAAAAAAAAGGTTGCCAAAAAAGGGAGAAAGTCTCCAGCATTTGTTTCCGTGGGGGAGTTAGCATGGATATCAGTCATAACTATGTGATGATTAGAGCCATCTTAAAATATTTTCTGCTTTGAATGCTTTATATATTTTTTCCTTAATTCTGTAACACTATCAAGTTCATTTCTGAAAACAGAATTTCAAATGAATTACACAAAGCACAACATCTGCTTGCATAAGTTACACCTGTGGAAGCATGCTGTCATCAGGAGGAAGTCTTTAAAACATTGCTGGCAAGAGAGATTTTCATTAATTAAAAACATCCTCATTCTTTATTCACAAATGAGGCTACCTGTGGGAGAGTAAAGGGAAGTCTTTAATTATCAAAATTTCCAGGGATGTTAGCAGGTCTTTGGGTCTGAATCCTGAATCCAAGCCTGAGTCCGGGTTTTTGGTACCAAGTCTCAAGGCCCAATCCCCAGTCCCTATTAAAAACAAGTTTGTTTTCCCCAGGAAAAAAAGAGGGGTGGGTAGGTTCCAAGATGTGAGCCAAGTCTGAGTCATTGGGGGGGAGGGGAAACTGAGTTGAGTCTCAGTCAAGTTGCCAGTGCGACTTAAGTCCAACTTGACAGCAAGTCCCATAAGCTGTTTGCTCTGTTCCTACACCTTTCAACGAACCCCAGAGAACAAAGCAATCTTACTCATATATTTGCAGATTTGCTGGCGATTTTTCTGCCACATAGCTGCTTGGCACATATCCTTCATGACTGTTAAAAATAAGATGCCTTGATATTAGCATATGAGAAATGTTTTCCAGAAAAAGCATACATCATCATTTCCATTTCGATTGTCAACAGCAACACTGGGAAGTTCGTACCAGTGATTACAGAACACAGATGATAAATCTGTTCACATATTACAGTTGTAATTTACAAACTAAAATTTGATTTGAGAATATATTCAAGAGCTGCATCTGTCTCAAAGTGTGTATTTAATAAATTATACATTCATCTGAAAGCAGTTCTAGATGAGGTACCAAAGCAAAGTGAGTAAGAAGCTGTACATATGAGAAAACTGTGTTGCTTTTTAAGAAGGGTTGTTATTAAAATTTGAATAAATGTTTAAAGAAACTCAGCATTCATAAAAGATGCCTACCCATTCTTATCTTGAACCAACCACCAGTGGATCTCTGAATTATTTATGACATAATATTCCTCATTGCACCGTAATGTTAGCTCCTGTGGATTTTGGGCACTGTAGTCATAAATAGCAATTACTTGTAACGGAGTTTCCTTGGAATCTAGTTGCAATTTCTGTGCAAAACACCAAAAACAGAAGAAAAAGAAACCAAAGAATGAGAGTTTGAATATAAGACATGAGGGCTGTTTATTATGGCTTTATATATTATATAAAATAATTGCACACTGTCAAGTAAATTTTGATTTATGATTACCCTTTCGAGGGTTTTCTATGTAGAGCATACTCAGAGGAGGTTTATCTCTGGCAGTATTCCTTTCTATACCAGTTGCTGGGGAATAGACGCAGGGTGTGTGTATGTGCTGTTACACTTATGTTCTTATGAAGACTTCCTCATGGGTATCTGGTAGTGAATAAAATGCCAAACTACAGAGCTATTTGGTTTGATCCTGCATAGCTCTTCTTAGAAAATACAACTATTTACACAATGGTGTATATCCATTTGCTAGACCCAATCAGAGTAGAGCTATTGAATCATCTGCTGAATAGTAAAATAACACAAATCATTGACCTACTCTAATTGTGACTGCCAAACAGATTACATCCATTTGTCAGATTTCTAAACTCTTTCTACACCTGTTTCATGTCAATGTATAGTTTTCTAGGGTTCTGCATACGTATATAGAAATATATTCCTGTTACATGACATCATATCTAAAATGCACCCATTTCAATCCACTGCCCATGTACAGTATATGCACATTTGTAGATTTGAATCCTTTGCCCCCATATAATATTTAAACTAATTTGGGATATGAGTGTTACAAAATGCTACTCTTGCAAGCTGTAAAGGGAAAGAAGAAATGATGGTGCAGTAGTCAAATTCCATGCTGCAGTCAAGACTCTGATCCAGACCTGTGTTTGATCCCAAGGGGCTCAGGTAGCTCAAGGTTCACTTAGCCTTCTATTATTCTGAGGTCAGTAAATTGAGTACCCAGCTTGTGTGGGAGGTGGGGTCGGATGTGCAGCCTGCAGAGTTAAATTGTAAACCACCCAGAGGGTGTTTTAAATGCTACGGGACAGTATATAAACAGCACACTTTGGTTTGCTTTCTGAATTCAAGATTGTTACTTCATTTGAGAAAGACATTGCTAAAATACCACTGACAACGAAATTTAAGAAACAAACTGACCACAATCTATCTTTTCTTTTGAAGATATGCTAATCTTACGGAAATCTTTGAACAGAAATTCTATAAATATAGGACTAAGTAATCAAAAATACTTAAGTAACATCTGAAATGCAAAATCTGACATGACATTTCAAAACTGAGCTTCAGCCATTTTGTTTTGAATGTTGGCAATATTCTGTCTCATCCCTGTGCATTCCCCATTTAATGTGCTCACCCAATTATTATCTGGAGTTGGAGGAAGAGGTTTCTTCGAGACTGGGAAAAGAAACAGAGCATTAAAACATTATAATATATCATGTAGAAATCTAGTCAGAAAAAAAACTATGGAGAACAAGGAGAGGTGTTCTACAAATTTATGGGTTTCCGTATTACCACTGGGTGGCTCTATTTTCCCAGAGAGAACTAGAAGCTTGTAGGAGACTCTTAGAGTTGCAATGAAGCAACTTTTATTCCATCTGTGAAGGTTGAGTGATAGGGAATAGTCCAGGGAATGATAATGCTTGCTTAACCAGATAGCCAGACATCACCCACAATCTGTCTTCAGCATGAATAGAGTTACTCTGCAGGATTCTTTTGTAACATATATGCACTGGAATTACTCCAAAACAGGCTAGGCTTCTGAGATTCATATGTAACCCTTTCAAAATCATAAACACAGATAGCATCAGCCATGTCCTATAATTTTGGTACTCAGAACTAGTTCTTTATTGGACCTAATTTTATATCTCTGCCAAGGAATGATAACATTTACCTAAGGTGATTAAAATTTGACAGTCCAGCAGTGATCGGATGGGTCTTGGTATACTGTGTGATGCTGAGTGCTAAAGGATGAAGCCCACAGAAAATGCCCAGTGTATTTAAAATATAGAAGTACTACCAACAAGTGGACAGATGCAGACTGTATGTCAACATTCAAATCACATATATCTACTGTTATTTAGAAATTAAGCTTTTAGGACAGGGGTCAGGGAACTTTTTTACCTTTTACCCCCCCCCCAAAAAATTTATATATGCCGACATTACCCCCTTGATTCGAAAAGAAGGAAATCATACATTATTTGAATTAAAAATATTATTGAATCTACACAGGCTGTGTACCGAACTATCAGAATGCACCAAATTTGATAAAGATGTGCACTGTTTTTGCTGGAACACATTGCACTCCAGCCATGGTGTGGTATAGTGAGTAGTAAGGTGTGCAACGTGCCTAGCAAGTTGCATTAAATTTTTGCTAGCTCGCAGAGGATTTAATCATCATCAGTGGCTGCCAGAGTGGTGTCAGCAACGACATGCTTGCTGGAGACAGCCACCGCAGAATTGGGAGGGGGGGCTTTCCCTACCACTTTACTCATTCTATGTGTGGTGTGCAAAAAGGAACAAACCAGACTAAAGGTCATGTCACACACCCTGGTGCCACAGCCCAATATCAAAGGACCAGGGTACTTTTTTATCATCATCAATGGAAAACTCAGCAGTGGCCAGAGGATTGGAAAAGATCAGTCTACATCCCAATCCCAAAGAAGGGAAGTGCCAAAGAATGCTCTAACTACCATACAATGGCACTCATTTCACACGCTAGCAAGGTTATGCTCAAAATCCTACAAGGCAGGCTTCAACAGTATGTGGACCGAGAACTCCCATATGTACAAGCTGGATTTCGAAGGGACAGAGGAACTAGAGACCAAATTGCTAACATGTGCTGGATTATGGAGAAAGCCAGAGAGGTCCAGAAAAACATCTACTTCTGCTTCATTGACTACGCAAAAGCATGGCAGAAAGTGAGGAGGACTTAAAGAACTTCTTAATGAGGGTGAAAGAGAAGAGTGCAAAAAATGGTCTGAAGCTCAACATCAAAAAAACTAAGATTAAGGCCACTGGTCCCTTCACCTCCTGGCAAATAGAAGGGAAGATATGGAGGCAGTGACAGATTTTACTTTCTGCTCTTTAACCCCAGGATTTTCACTTTTACCCAATTTGGGGTAATTTACTCCTGTTTTCCGACCTATGTTTTAGAACATAGACTACAGTCATGTTACTATACACGTTTCTCTCTCTTTCTGATGATGTCATAGGATTATCAACTATCAGAGGTTATCAGGGCTTTGCTTGGTATTTCCATACACAAAATTAAACCACTTATTAAGAATTTATTCAGGAGGGCCATGGGGGGGGGATAAGAAATCAATTTCCTACCAGTTTTGGCTGAGATGTATTCCACACAGCCTGTTGCTAGCTTTTCTGACTGAGCACAGCATCTCCATCTTCCATCTATCCAAAAATTTGGGTGAAACTTTGTCACCAAATTGTTGTTGCTCCTAGTTGCTGAAACAGTTGATTGGAAGAGTCTTTAAAACTACATCAAGTATCACCCACTTATCCATATTTACAGTGATCCAGAATCGCCACAGTTACATACAATTGTGATGAATTTACATAGGATTACTATTACTATTAATTATTAACAAATGTAATAACAATTATTATGTTGATTATCATAATTATTGGCAGATTTTATTAGCAGACTCTATAATAAGTATTATAATGATTAATATAGAATCTCCTAATATAATCTGCTAATGAATGTGACTTGAATGGAGAAAGTGTAAGAGAAGGTCAATTTCAATAGAGCTAAGCCTTCTGCATAGAAAACTACACTCTGTAACACATTCCTCTCTCATCACACTGGAAACAGGTCATGCAACAAAGCAAAATGGTGGGAGATTCAGGACAAAGAAATGTATTTCACACAGTGTATAGTTAAACTTTGGAATTCAGTGTTAGAAGATGCAGTACTGTTGCTGACATAAACTGACAAGGTCAGATGAATTTAAAAAGGGGATAAGTCAGATTTATGGAAGATATGGCTATCAGTAGTTAGTAGCAATGTTAATTACATATAAAATCTTGTATAAAAGGCAGCATGCCTCTGAATGCCAACAACTGGGGAACACAAATGGGGAGGTGCAGCTGCACTCCTGTCTTGCTTGAGGTTTCCCTGAGATTGACCACCGAAGGAGCGGAATGCTGGCCTTTGGCCCCTTCTGGCATAGTTCTTCTGATGTTCTTATAGTCTTACCATCACTGCTGGAGAGGTGCGTCTTTCTGTTTTTATTGTAAGCAGCCAGACTACAGCAACCAGATACTATGGCTGAAATCCTATTACTTATTGTAGTAAGTCACAACTAGAGTAGGCCCATTTAAATGAATAAAACTTACAGAGGAGTTGAGTCACCAAATCCTCACTGATTCAGCGGGTCTATTCCAATGTGACTTACCACAATAAGTGACAGGATTTTAGCCATTAATTTCTTTGCCATGTTTAAATTACTATTCCATGAGAAATGTAACTGATTAACACATCACTCTCAAGTATTGGATTACAACTCCAATAATCCTCTGGATAATTTAGTATAAGTAGTTTGAATGGGAATTCTAGGAGCTTGAGAGCACCAAGTTGGGAAAAACTGAAATAGGAAACTATAAAGAGCCAACTTATTTAATACACAAGCAGTGGTGAAATTCCAATTTTAGATTATCTTTAAATCTATACGTGTCAAAAAACATTTGCAAGCAAACTCTTATTCATTGTCTGAACTCCTATTGCACAACTCTAGGTGTATAACAGGAAATCATCGGGGCATAGCATTTCCACTGATTTAAAGGCTTCCTTTGGTAATTGCAACATGCATGCAACTCATGCATAATATGACAAAGTTGCATGCACTCAAAAAATCACCAAAGGAATTAATTTACTGATACTGAGGATGTCATTCCAACTGTGCATGCAGAGCTGCACAACAGGATTTCAGCCATTCTTTATATATGTATTGTAATTATATTATGTTTAATACCTTTCTTCAAACATAGTTCAAGTACAGTGGGGTCTTGACTTAAGAACGGCTCGAGTTAAGAACATTTTGACTTACAAACCACTCTCATAGGAAAATATTGACTTGACTTACATACTTAGATTTGAGTTAAGAACTGAAAAAAACCACGTGGGAGGCAGGGAAAGTGCAAAATTTGAACTTTCAGTTAACTGTTGGCCAGTGAAAAGGGTGCCTGTCTGCTTCCTCACTCCTCCCAGCGTTTAGAGAGTGGATTGGGAGACAGTCTTCAGACTGCCTGGTACTGTCTCATGCATAATATGACAAACTTTCATGCACTCAAAAAATCACCAAAGGAATTAATTTACTGATACTGAGGATGTCATTCCAACTGCGCATGCAGAGCTGCACAACAGGATTTCAGCCATTCTTTATATATGTATTGTAATTATATTATGTTTAATACCTTTCTTCAAACATAGTTAAAGTATATGGAGAACAAAACATTATTTCTTTCCTGTTCATGTGCTAATTTATTATGGAGAGTTACACTGACATGCATTCAAAAATGAGAACCATTACCCACAATCTAAAATGATATCATCCAGAATTTTATCACCTTTTTATTCTGATCAAAGGGGACAAAAACAGCAAAAAGACTGAGATGCCTTTGAGCCGTTTAAAACAATATAAAATATCTCAGGAAGCATTTCATACATGCTACCAGCAGGCAGGATTAGGCCAATCAATTCCAGGATGAGGTAGCTGGAGCGGACGTTTGTGGAAGGCAGCAGAACAGTCACTGCTTCTTGCTCTCTGCCACCTGCATTGAGAATTGTTGGTCTCTTCCTCTATCCTTTGTCATTGCTGCCATCTCCTCAACTTAATCAAACCACCTCTTCTCAGACAGCTGTGTGCATAATACCTGGGCCCAAAGCATTAAGGAGGTGAAACAAAAATTGTGCCAGACAACATCTTCACTCCTTAGCATCAAAGAATCATGTAATTATGAAGCTAGAAGGGGTTTATAAGACCATCAAGTCCAACCCCCAGCTCAATACATAGGAATACATATCAAAGGATTTGTCCGGTGGTTGTCTAAATTTCTTTTGAATGTCTCCAGTGTTGGAGCAGTCACCACCTCTTGAGGTAATTGATTCCATTGTCACACTGCTCAAACAGGAAGTTTTTTTTTACATATTCAACCAAATTCATCCCTTTGATGTTGTTGTCATAATAAATACAGCATTACAACAGTTGGGGGATTGGAGGGCTTGAGCTGGCACTGACAATAAAAGAGGGGATCAAAACAGTATTAAGTAGAATATATAAAATAAGTGGATGCACCCTCCAACCTGTTAAAGCTTCCACCATATGGGCAGTGCTACTGATAGGCAGAATGAAGGGGGAAGAACAGCTCCTCCTTCTGAGCCTCCTGTTTGCTTCTCTTGGACAATCACACAGTCGATGTGGCAACCCTTAAACTGGCTAGCGGTATTCAGGCATGATGGAGGGCTCTGTCCAATTGCTAAGCACTGAGGTAAGATTCATATGCTAGCCTAGTCAGCTTCTGTAAGAGAGGGACACCACCTGTTCTTATCCCATGTCCTGAGCAGCGAAATTTCTTGAGACAGACCTGGCATGCCATGATCTATTTGTATCTTTGTAGCACTGATACTGGAATGAAGCATTGATCTGAGCTATATAATGATTGGTTACCTTCTTTCAGAGTCAGTACCCATTTCTGGCAGCTTGCTTGGCTGGGGGCAAACACATAGAGGAGATAGCTGTCATGAAAAATCTGTGGGAAGGGGGGAAAGATTAGAATACCTTCTGGCCCAAAGAGAAATTATTAAATTTTGATTTAAATTTTCTGATGTATTGCTGGAGTGGAAAATGTGGCTCTGGTGTAACACCTGCAGTATAAATAAAACATACAATTCAAAATCAAATTCTTACCAGTTCAGTAACATGAACAAATCTGCATATAGGTTCTCATTTTATAAAAGCTACCCGGCTTCCACACTGGAAGGACATATGCAGGACTGTTCAGTCACATCCAGTTTCACAGCCAGAAGAGTCTTTTGTTCTATAGCCTGAATAGCTACTCACCACATTTCTTCCTGTACTAAATAACATATGAATTATACAGTATATCACAGAAGTGAGTACACCCCCTCACATTTCATAAATATTTTAGTATATCTTTTCATGTGACAACACTGAAGAAATGACACTTGGCTACAATGTAAAGCACTGAGTACTGTATACAGCTTGGATAACAGTGTAAAAGTGATGTCCCCTCAAAATAATGCAACATGCAACCATTAATATCTAAACCGCTGACAACAAAATTGAGTACACCCCTAAGTTACAATGTCCAAACTTGGCCCAAGTAGCCATTTTCCTCCCTGGTGTCATGAGACCCATTAGTGCCACAAGTCTCAGGTGGTGAAGGGGGATTATATTTTGATTATATAATCAAAATAATGCAACACACAGCCATTAATGTCTAAACCGCTGGCTACAAAAGTGAGTGACTTTTGTCTAAATTGTGACAATGTCCAAATTGGGCACAAATATATATATCACACACCGCAGCTTGAATGTTTTTCTGACCCTTGAATAAACCTTGACACCAAAATGTAAGCATGAGGGGAGATTATATTTTGATTATATAATCAAAATAATGCAACACACAGCCATTAATGTCTAAACCGCTGGCTACAAAAGTGAGTGACTTTTGTCTAAATTGTGACAATGTCCAAATTGGGCACAAATATATATATCACACACCGCAGCTTGAATGTTTTTCTGACCCTTGAATAAACCTTGACACCAAAATGTAAGCAAGGCTGGAAGACTAAGAGTTTATTTTGTAATATTTTCCCATGGTGTCACCTCACAATCTCTTAAAATTCTTGACCTATAAATTTTGACCACAAACTCCTAAGGACACAACTCGGGATATTGATGTGCCTCCACACAAAGAGATAAAATAATGTAGCATTGTGTTTTTTCCCTTCAATTGTCCCTGCCATTTTATGTAGTCTTCTATAAATTAGGACAGAATTATAAGCAAGTGATCCAATTTGTTCAATATAGTGAAACCACTCATTTAATGTATCTTATCATCAGTTATTTAAAAGTAATAAGGTTGTCAATATGCCTAATTTTGTTATAAACATTAAAAGGGTTGTAGTATAATAAATAAAAAATGTGAGAAAATAATTCAAATTAATCAGGGATACCTATGTAAGAATATTTACTGAGTCACACATTCTTTAATGTAACAAACCTTGCTGCTAATATAACACTGCCACCTGATGGAGAATTGACATGAATGAAAACAAAAAACGGATGATATCAGGTATTTACAACAACACTTTTTCGTTATCACCCAAACTTAGAAAATGAGCTTTTGTGGACAGTGAAATGTTGAATGAAATGTCAGTTTCATACTAAATGAAGGATATTTTATTCAAAATTTTCATTCTGTTTCCATATGTCTGATGAAGTGGATGTATCCACAAAACCTCACATTAAAATATAATAGTTAGTCTTTAAGGTGCTACATTTTTGTTTTGTTTCTTTGAATACTGGCTGATATGTTTATGAGAGTGACTTTCACTTACCTGAAAAGGATATTTGTAATGACATGGAACAGTGATGTCACTTTTCACAATTTCTACACATTTAATCTTGGACAGTTCAATCGATCCCTTTAAAATTCTTTTTTTCTGTGAGATAAAAAAAAGAAGAGAATTGGGTCAGTGACTGCAATTTAGTGTAAGTATTAAGGGACATAAGGGACGTGGTGGCGCTGCGGGTTACACCGCTGAAGCCTCTGTGCTGCAAGGTCAGAAGACCTGCAGTTGTAAGATTGAATCCACGCAATGGAGTGAGCCCCCGTCGCTTGTCCCAGCTACAGCCAACCTAGCAGTCCGAAAGAGTGCAAAATGCAAAAATGCGAGTAGATAAATAGGTAGCACCTTGGTGTGAAGGTAAATGGCATTCCGTGTCCAGTAACATTGGCCACGTGACCATGGAGGATTGTCTGCAGACAAACGCTAGCTCTATGGGATGGAAACAGAGATGAGCACCGGAGCCTAGAGTCGGACAAGACTGGACAAATTGGCGTCTAGAGTCGGACAAGACTGGACAAATTGTTAAGGGGAACCTTTACAATTAAGGGATACACTTCATTCTGAGGACCACAGAATTTAAGAAGGTAGCATTACCTTTTCCCCTCCACTACATTTTATACAAATCTCATTACCACAGTATTGGAAGAAAATTGCCAGCACTCCCAATAGCTGCTATTAATTAATAATAATTGTGCACCATCATTTCTGACTTATAGCAGTCCTTTTCAAAGTTTTCTAGGTAGATTGTACTCAAGTAGTTTTCCTTCTGGGGTGAACTTGGATTGTGCAGCTTGCTCAGCATCACACAGGCTGGTTCTTCTAGGATGCACAGTGGGGAAGTGAACTCCCAACCTCTGGCTTCATAGCTAGAGTGGTCTTAATTGACCAGATAGGCGGGATATAAAATAGATACAGTAGACAGACAGACAGACAGACAGACAGACAGACAGACAGACAGACAGACAGACAGACAGACAGACAGACAGACAGACAGACAGACAGACAGACAGACAGACAGACAGACAGACAGACAGACAGACAGACAGACAGACAGACAGACAGACAGACAGACAGACAGACAGACAGACAGACAGACAGACAGACAGACAGACAGACAGACAGACAGACAGCAGCAGCCCTTTTCAAAGTTTTCTAGGTAGACTGTACTCAAGTAGTTTTCCTTCTGGGGTGCACTTGGATTGTGCAGCTTGCTCAACATCACACAGGCTGGTTCTTCTAGGATGCACAGTGGGGAATTGAACTCCCAGTCTCTTGCTCTGTAGCCAAATAATTAAACCTCTGAGGTATCCAGCCAGCTATTGTTAAATACGTCCCATTAATTGTATTGTGGTGCATCTGACACAAAGAAAGAGCTGACAATTCTGGTTTAAACAGTATGTTTTGTAGCAGAATTTTCTGTAAACATTCATGTATTTGTATCCAATGATTTTTTTTGCTTCACTACATGTCCACCATATATGATACAGGGTTCCCTCTTGTAATTTACATTTCCAACATATATTTAATGTACCTTTATACATTTTTGACAACTTATCTAGTGCCATGTACCATCTGTAGAACATTTTGTACATATTTTCTTTAAACTTCACTGATTTTGTAATTTTTACATTAATTTTTCCCAGTCATCAATATCAATATTATGCCCTATATTTTGTACCCATTTTGGTCATACAATCTTTTACCACTCCATCTTCCATCTTAATTTCTAATAACAATTCATACATTTTTAATCAATTTGTCATCTGTTTCTAATAGTATTTTATCCAGGAATCTTTGCTCTTCATAAAAACACTCCTTTTTATCTTTTACATATCTAGATACCATTTGCATTCTAGCCCACCAATCTCTCTATATACAGTATCTTGTCCTTCTAACTCTTTTCTTTTTAATTCACAATTTCCTTTTAGTAATTCTTTATATCTGTGCAGTCTGCAACCAGTCAGGTTGGGTTGTGTAAAAGCTTCTAATGGACATATCCATGCTGGTATCTTTCCGTATATCTGATATTGTATCTTGTCCCATGACTTCAATAGAGATCCTCTTATCAAGTGGTTGTTAAAATATTTATGGTCTTTAGCTTTAGCAAAAATGCATGCCAACCAAGCATCTGATCATGATTCTTATCTGGCATTGGTGGCCGTGAGGTGGCCAAGTTTGCAGATTACATGAAACTTTTCCAGGTGGTGAAGACCAGAAGGGATTATGAAGAGCTCCAGAAGGATCTCTCCAAACTGGGAGAATGGGCAGCAAAATGGCAAATGTGTTTCAGTATAAGAAAATGTAAAGTAATACACATTGGGGCAAAAAAAAGTTTAATGATCAGTTAACGAGTTCTGAGCTGTCCGTGACAGATCAGGAAAGAGATTTTGGTATGCTGGTGGACAGCTTGATGAAAGTGGCAACCTAGTGTACGGCGGCCGTGAAGAAGGCCAATTCCATGCTAGATATCATTCAAAAGGGGATTGAAAATAAAACAACCAACATTATAATGCCATTGTAGAAAACACTGGTAAGGCCGTACCTGGAGTATTGCGTACAGTTCTGGTTGATGGACCTCAAAAAAGACATATTGAAACTGGAAAAGGTGCAGATGAGAGTGACTAAAATGATGACTGGGCTGGGGCACCTCCCTGATGAGGAAAGGCTACAGCATTTGGGGCTCTTTAATTTAGAGAAAAGATGCCTATGGGGGGACATGATTGAGATGTACAAAATTATGCAGGGGATGGGCCCTTGGCCTAGTCCAGGAGGACTCTTCTTATGAACGTATGACTAATAATAGCAGTTTTGTTGGATTTTTCCCTGTAGGGGCTAATCATACATCATGTTGTCTTATTAACTCCTTTTTCTGTGCTCACTCCCTTTGTTCTTTCTTTCTCTTCTTCTTATTCAGAGAATCAGACCTGCAAAAATGGAAGCCAGCTCTATGGGTCTTTGTGAAAAGTTTTAAAAATCTTTCCCTCTACACTATCCAAGAATGAAATTCCTGAAGTAATAAATTGTAGTTCCTCTTTTGCCATGCGACTACTCTCCCAGACAGTTACTTTTACTTTTAAGTCATCACAAATTCAGTAGCAGGGCACTGCATTGTGCAAGTAAATGCCCAATAGTTCTAAGAGCTGCGCTTATCTCATTTCCTGTCTTGCTATATTCTAAAGGGTAAATAGGAGTCAAGATGCCTAGAGTCGCACAGAAACTGCACAACTTTTATCTTTCATCTGCCTCCCAAGATCTTTTGGTGACAAGAGTGCAAAAGGATCCTTGTGAGCTTAATAATGTGTGTGGTTGTGACTAGTTAGGTGGGTTTGGTTGGTGGCACTGTGCCAGGAAAATTGAGTAATGTCCCATTCTGTGCATCTTTCACTCAACAGAATAAGGCTGAGGAAGGATTTAGCCCTATTGTATGTGAACGTTTACATTCGTTTCTCATCCATTTTAAGAAGTAATTTTAAAGGATATTTAAAAAGTAATTAAAGCTGTCCTTTTCCTTTTAAAGCTGCAAATTGTTTATACTAACTATGCATTTTCCTTAAACTAGGCTGGAAACTAAAGATAGTTCTGAATTGGTAATACCCTGTTGAACTCTTAAGCCATATAATTTCCCTAAATGTACTTGTTTTACATGAGCTCAGCTAAACCACAGTGATTGCTCTCCCAGACTCTACCCAAACAAAGGTCAGACATGTTGGAGCAAATTATGTCCAGGGCCCACTATTTTCTAGTGGGTGTCTCTCTACCTTGTAATTACATTCACACAACCTGTTTATTTTCCCTCTTTTGCCTTCAATCTTAAAATGACTTGGTATGGACAACAGCATAACTAGATTTGCTAAAGAAATTCTAGAACTCAGACTGATTTGAGAATCATCCTTTCTGACCCAGGACTATTTCTTTCCAATCCATGGCGTAGGTGGCCTGGCTGTGACTACTCTTTATTGAGATAAGGCAATGTCCACATACTTGCATGGACTGAGTACGTATCTCCATGAACACGCTGTCACAAAATACCCATTAACCAGTCAAGGTTCTTGTGCTAACTAACACCTTTTCTAGACCAGTGTGTTCTTGCTACCTTTATTCATGTCCTTGTAAGAAACTTCAGATTAACTTCTTCAATATCTTATACCTGGGGCTGCCTTTGAGGCGTAGTACTGGAATGGGTGCAAGAAGAGAACTGACCTTATTTTTCAGCCATTGTCCTGCCAGATTTAACACATTCTTACTGGGTTTTTGGATTCAAAAGGTGCTTTAGGAATTCATGCACTGCTTGATCTCCCAACTTTCCACACTTATTTTGGGCAAAGGAGGTGATTGGTATTGGGGATATGGTGGCAGGATGGGTAGAACATAAGGCAGAAAAGAAGGGATAGGGATTCCGTGATGTCATGAGACAGTGTTGCTTTTCACTTCCTCTCGTGTGAACAGGAGCACCGGAACAAAAGACCTACTTGGTGTGGATGCTGGAAGCTGTAATCTCCACTAGATATTCTTAACCCTTGGTAGAAGTAGAGAAAAACAACATGCTTCTTTTTCACCTATCCAGAGAAGCCCGCAGTGACCTTAATAACCACTTATTTCCACATGATCCTACCTGTATGTTCAATATAATATCAAAGGCCATTCATTCTCTCCCATCAGAAAGGAGTTTTGGAATTTAATGTGATAACATTTAAACCTCGTATTTTAAAATGGTCTAACTGTCAGCAAATTTTACAGCTGTTGTTTCATGATATTTGTACAGTCGTTCTGCTGATACGGATTTTAATCACTTATTTTTCTAAGCTGTTTCAAAAATCCAGATTTAGGTACGCATTTTAAAATAAAGACGGCATGAAAGTGAGTACAATCATTAGTCTCTTCCATTATTACTGTAATGCCCCTGCTCGCCTCCAATTTGCCTTTCACACATCCTCATTGTTGCCTTGTAGAAAAGAGTTCATTTCAGGGAAAAGAACAAACATATATATTAGCAGAGGTTAAGTGCTGGATTTCAGCAGCAAAATATAGTCAGATAATATATTGCAATTAATGTCAATCTGGCAAGACACAGTTGTCTCTTGTGATAAGCCTTC